GTTCGAACCCCCCGAACACCCCCTGGCTACGGGCCTGCCAGTAGTACTTACTTTTACCAAATTTAGACCAAATGAGTGGGCTCTTGCCAGAGAGAATATAGTAATAGTACTACTAAGTACGTTTTAAGTAAAAAAATGCAAAGATAACATCGAAAACTATTCAGAATGAAATTATTGAAGCAAAATTAGAAGGGGGTTATTACCCCCAAGAGGGTACCAGTCTATAACAAAGCAATCAACGGTGGCGCAGCCTGGCGGCGATCTGTCGCAGCCCAGAAAACAAGTCGGGTCGGCCCCCCGTCCCCCCTAAAAAAACTCCTCGGAAAACATCAACTTATTTTTCAGTATTTTTTCTGCTTAAAAATCTATATTTTTTTTTTTTTAATTGGAGAAAAAAAATTTCCGTGGGCCAGAAAAAAGGGCAACTCAAAATTTTTAGGGGGGTGGGTGCGCACCCCCTGCACCCCCTGGATCCGCCCCTGATTAAACAAACGAGTCAGTTTGTTTTCCGAGACAGTAGTGGTCACACACATACCCTGTACATTATGTACACAAGACATTTTTTGGGACTTTTACGAGCGCACTGTGTCTACCTTTCTTGCTCACAGACCGCACTGATTCGCAATGAAGGTGAGAGCACAACAGGCTCACTAATATCATCAAAATTATTCATTATGGACGCTTAAAGTCAACGATTTGTGCTCTAAAATCGGCCTCAACGTAATGTCAAGCGAGCGAAGGCGCTGCCATGTTGGATGACGTAGGCTAAATCTGATGCGCTGATTGGTCTGAGATGGAGTTATCGGCTTTTGCTAAAAAAACGAGCATGGCGCATGTCGGCTGCATAAAACGTTATATTCAACTGTGAAATGCGGTATTTGCGAAGAAATGAATTTTACCTTCAGATGGAGATTGGTGTAAGCTATTTTGCGGTACCCTTAAGTCAATATTTTCGGCAATGGCGTTTATCGGTTTTTGCGCCTGAACTCTTCATATGTTCTCTGAAAACTAGGGGAGAATAATACAACGAGAGGGTGAACAACAAACAGTGCCAAACAGCACGCTTACGCGTCTTTGTCTTAGTTATCCTAATATAGTTAGCCTAATATAGTTTAATTAAACTTCTCTTTTACTTTCACACGCTCTCTCGCTATCTCTTTCTCTGTCTCTGTCTCTCTTTCTCTCGCGCTCGTTCTTTCTTTCTTTCGCGTTCTTACTCTTTCTCTTTCTCTCGCTCTCTCTCGCGCTCTCTCTCTTTCTTTCTCTCTCTCTCTTGGAAACGTGTCCTTTATAAACAGGTGGAGATTTCTACAGGAGTGACCGCTGACACAAGTTTGACTGTTGATAATCTACATTACAGTATATATATATAGTATATAGCATATATAGCATATATTGTATATAGAGGTCATGCGAGGGAAACGTGTCCTTTATAAACAGGTGGAGATTTCTACAGGAGCGACCGCTGACACAAGTTTGACTGTTGATAATCTACATTACAGTTTACGGATTTCGCGAGCAACTCTGAGGGCCGAGACGAGGGGACCGCGTGCGCGCGTGGTTGCCGTGGCGACGCCGTACCTCCAGCGGCCTGTTGACGGCTGCGCAGAGAGATAAGTAGCCTGTGAGGTCGCGACCTCTGTGTCGCACGGTGAACGCTCGCTGCTCGTCCTCCGACCAGAACGAGAAGTTCAGCGTGTCGATGAAGAACACCCTGCAAGGAACAACCTGCAGGTTCGCGGAACATCACCGACATATGTAGGAACATCCGGTGGCCTTCTTCGCACTTGACAGCTGGCGTTGTGGCGCCATCTACTGGTTAGATTTGCTCCTAGGGGCGTTTTTTCGTAGGGAGAAGACCAGGAATGGTCGGTACATGAGCATTACTGAGCGCTGAATTTGCCGCAGAGCATACTTTTCTCCGATTGGTCAAAATTGCATTGTATTAAGTCAAGTATTAGTTGATCGTGCATATATTGTGGACTGCAAACCTGGACACCTTACCTACAATCCGTACCCTAAATGTGCAGCTTTGGTTTGTTTATACGACGTACTAGATACAATAATGTAACCCAAACCCAAGAGGATAGGGGGGGGGGTAACTATAACTATCCTCTTGGGTTTGGGTTACATTATTGTGTCTAACGACGTACGTGTAGTAAGCACAATTCTTACCAGGCTACTGATGCCCTGTCAGCCGTTTTCGGCTTGAAATCTGGAAGTTGATCTTCACTGACCTTGTGCTTATTTTTTCCCATCACATCTGCAAGCTGCAAACAAAAATATATGACAGTACAACAGATTGTACGTGAAATTTACAAGGCGCTTTCTGTTTTTCAGTTGATTAGAGTTTTGTCGGATTGTTCGATATCTGCCTGCTCAACTCTATTTGGTTCTCAAACTCAAATTAAGTGACTTAACCTTTGCCACGACTTTTGGGCAGGTAGATATATATACGATAGTCTAGCTACGTGAAAGATCACCCTGCTATTACGCAGCTACCCGGTGTTTGAACCTAGATCTGGAGTGGATGTTTCATCTTTTAAACGTACACTATCAAGCAGATCTATAGTACAGTATAGTGTAGATGTACGATATAGTGTAGAGCTGTCAGAACTGTTAGACTGGTTCTGTTATAGCTACGTTATCGCGTCTAACATACGTGGTGCGCTAGCTTTTCCACGATGAAGGCAGCTGCCTCGCGTGGTAGCATCACGCATGACGATGCATCCTTTATAGCAACCATCGCTCACTATCCTTCCTGCGTCTCTACGTCTGCAAGTTACACACACAGTAACACGTCTAGCCCGACCAGGCTGTGCGACCGATTGTCTATACATTGTCTATACGCACGCATGGGTGTGTGTGTGTGTGTGTGTGTGTGTGTGTGTGTGTGTGTGTGTGGTGTGGAACGACGTGTATGGGAGTGGGTTGCGTAACGATATAGTCATCTTTGCGCGTCTAGGCGTTTGTTGTTATTGCAACCGTCGAGGTGACGACGAGACGCGTAAATTGCTTTGTGTTAGCTTCTTTGCATGTCTGTTGTCTGGAGGGCCGGTATTATTATATATAGCGCTTGAGCGGCTGCTATAATTTCATCGCTTGATAAGAGGCCGACGCTGTGCTATGCTTGGACATACAACAAGAATAAACAAACATCAACTCTAGGCGTTAAACTTAGAGTTGAGGTACAACAACGCCAGAAATGCAGTGACGCTTGACATACAGCCAGCAAGTAAAATTCAGCCAGCAGTGCGACTTCAAATCAAGGAAACTCCTTTTCAGGTCAATTGTACATT